CACAGGTGAGTTTTTCTTCCTCTGACTTTTCTAGACACTCAGCTCCTGAGTGTCTCCAGCCACAGGTATAGTCTACCCGAGCTTACTAATATTCCTGCATAGGTCATAACTCTCCTCCTGGGTTCTGTGACACTGGGAATGACATATGAAGGTGGCTCATCTTCACTTTCCTTTCAGAGCACCTCATAACAGCTAGTGTACAGTTAGTGACAATTTCTGCTAGGAGGATGGCTCCCTACCTGGATGGACGGTTATTCTTTAATAAAATGACTTGCTATGACAGTTAGAAATGGAAATGAGGACCTGAGGATATTGCAGATGTGGGAAAGGATAGCTAACTTGTGATGAATACTGACATGACAGAATAGAGGAAAAAAGAACAGGAAGAAAAGAGAAACTCTGAAGGTTCCAAAGGAGTCTAAAGGTGCTTGGAATTTTAGTGTTTAGGTACCTGGTCCTAAGATGTAAATTGATAAATAAGACAAATATGGCCACATGTCAGAATAAAGGATTGTGGCACCATGTGGGACAGGCTGATGGGCTCCTTGGTCCAGTCTCATTTGTGCCACTTAGCTGTGGGGAGTCTAGAGGCAATCTTCTTTCCAGGACAGCATGCTGGGAAAATCACAGGAACTGAGACATGATCATGTTCTGTATGTCACGAGATCATCCATCACTGTGTCATATGTCAGTGTGTAATGACAGAAGCTGGTCTCACCTGGATCGAGGCCCCAGTTATCCATGCTTACCTGTACCCCATTGCTCCACACCCCCTGATGCTCAATAGTATGCCTTGGCAACTCTGAGAATTCTGCTGCCTATAAAGTATGGTTGGCAGGTGACGATGGAGGTGACTGATCTGGAGATTGAACCCAAGACCTTATGCATGAGAGACAGGTGCTTCACCACTGAGCTATATCCCAGCCCCACCCCACCCCACATACCCCAAAAAGCTCCTTGACCTCATTTACTCCTCACAAGGCAAGCCTGGTAAGCTTGAGTTACTATTTTACATGTGAATAGAATGAGATTTGGGTGAACAAAATAAACTTGCCTGGGAGAGAAAGCAGGGGAAGGAGAAGGGCTTGGGCAGGATGTAGGTGTTTGTTTTTGACACCTGAGAACCAGCAGAGTCTCCTGTGTCACTGTGTCAGTCTATCCCAGGTGGAAAGCATGACAAAGAAGTACCCACGGGGATGTACCCACCTAGGAGGGCAATCCGCTACCTAGCTGGAACACAAGAACACACACAGTCTCATTCAACAACACTTACTGATAGCTCATGCATTAGGACCGTTAGCTGAACAGGGAACCTGAGCACAGGCCACTCAGACTGTCAGAGAGACACTCCAGGATCCCGGACTGATGGAGAAACATGTCTGAACAAGAACAATTCCCAGATGAGAACCCTTGGTCTTGCTCCTATTCACAGAGCCCCAGGAGATAAAAAGGACTGCTACTTTGCTCCATACTGAAAGGGGGATGGAGTGGGAAGGGAAGATGTCAAGCTGGAACAGGGGACTCAGGGCATACCTCAGGAGCCACACTGGAGCATGTGGCCTTGTACAGTGTTAGCTCCTTTCCCCTTTGGGGTGATACTAAACCCTCCAGATGGTCATTCTGGGTGGCCCCACCCTACCATGGTCTACTGGTACCCTTGATGTGCCACTGCAGGAGTGCTCCTGACCCTGGCCTTGTGTGCTTGTCACTGTCCTCAGGCCTCAAGTTGACTTGACCACAGCTGCCCAAGCAGATCTTTTGGTCTGGATCTCCAAATGATCTTCATGAATCTACTTCCTTTCTTCCCTGGTTGGAGAGATACCCCAACACCCCCAGCCTCCACATACATATACGCATACCTATTACATTCTCCTCTCTTTGTGGAGAACAATACACAGCCTTTTAGCTTCAAAGGAAACGTCTGCACAACCTCTCAAATGTAATACTGAACTGCTGTGTTCCTCTGATGTGGATGATAAAGCTACAGGAGGCAAAACCAGTTTCCCACCACTCCCTCACACAGTTCCTTTTATGTGGCAATGTGGCGCCTTGCTTTCGGAATGAGATAGTGTTCCTGTACTTAATGGTCTCCTCTCCACTTGCCACTTAAGGAAGGTTAGAATCTCATTCCCAGAGCCCGGGTATAGAGGCACAGAAGTCAAACATTGCCGTTTATTACCGAGCTCAGCTTGGGCCTTCACCTCCTCTCCAAGCAGGGTAAACCAGGTTCCGGCCACCTCCCAGCTCTCAGAGTGAAGGCTGCAGAATAGAAAGCCCACCTAAGTAGCAGATTCATGGTTTATCTGCAAAAGCAGGAACTTGGAGCTGAGAGGCTGTGTTGTAAGCCTGGCTCTGCCTATAAGTGGCTATGGGGATCTAGACAAGCTGGCTACCCCAACCCGACTCCCGCTGCCCCTGGGATCCCCATGTTCCTTCCAGCGTTAGGATGCTGAGTTGGTCTGGGGGATTGTAAGCAAGTCCAAGGTCTTGGAAGTTCAAGGGCAGAGATGATGTCAGAATCCCTTTGGGCAGAGGCTGTCACTTCCATCAGTGTCAATGGCTGCTTTGTTTCAGGTGACAGGACAGTCACAGGATCTGTCTTCCAACTTAGGAACATGTCCTTGTCTTTCTCTACCTCAGGATAGCGGAAAAAAAACAAAAGAGCAACTTCCTGGGTCTGGAGCCATCAGACTGACCTCAGGCCTCAGCCGTTCAAGGAAGCTGCAAGATCCAAAACAGGCAGTACTGGCCTTCCAAGTGCTCCGTCAGCTACAGATAAAAATAACACAGGCTCCTCGGGGATGTTCCCAGTCATAAATCAATCAGCCAGAACTATTTCTGTTCTTATCTTTTGCCCAGGGTTCCTCTTTAAGACCACCATCCTGTCCTCTCCACGCTGCACCCAGCCACCTTACCCCTGGAGTAGGACTCGGAGTCCCAGCTTCCCTTACTACAAGTCACTATCTTATCCGACCCAATAAGGGAGTCCTTACCCCACCTGCAAGTGAGCGGGTAGAGATTTTGATGCCTCCAGAGTCCTGCACAGCAGGGGTCCATTCTGATAATAAGATTGATTCCCTCCATGGTATGTCAGGTCTCTCAGCCTTACCCCTGGTGCTGGTGGGTTTCTAGGAGTAAGCAGTCTTGCTAACCCCCTCACCACCAGCAGGGTGAGAGTAAGGTGTGTCACTCATGTGCTCACAGGGATTATAGTACCTACCCCTTAGGGCCACTTGGAAGATTAAATGAGGCTCTGTAGACAAAGCATTAAATTTGGCACATGGCATGTTGCAGATGTTTAAAAACCAAGAATTGCCTTCCCCTGCTAGCCTTCCATCTGGCTCTCGTCCTCTCACGGCTGACCCATGTCTTGAAAAAGCTCCTTTGAGAAGATTCTGTCAGCCTGTCAGGTTCAAATCCGGCTCCCGGGGAGGCCCTTGAGGATATCTGATCTACTCCTAGATCCTAAATCAGTATCCTAGTAATAACCACAGATGCCGTGCTGCTGGGCCATCTGGAGCCGCCTGCCTTATCCTCGGGCTTCTACCGCCCTCTAGAGGTTGCAGTGCCACACTGCAGTCAACGTTGCCTAGCCCCAGAAAGACGGAGGGACCTCACTCCGTATGAGGCCCTGTATGGATTAAGGTAAGACAGCAGGCAAGGGAAGGTATCCTAGGAAGTCAACAATTCATAGTAGCATGGAGATTTCCAGTCCACAAAACACTTACTGGGTGAGTTCCTGAGAACACTCTGTTTCTGCTTCAGGCTTAACACACATGGGAGTCCCCGTATTCATTGCTCACTCAGTAGAACCACATTAATGAATGGTAAATCTCAGGTCCTATCTCACAACCTTCCAGAAATCATTTAAACCAGGTCTGTATAGCTCAGTATAAATACCAGCTCTGTGTTTAAAGCATTGCCAACCCCAGCCATACTGTAAGAGCAACATATCTAGAATACATTGAAAGGTGTTTGTAGGTGGGAGGTTGCTCCATAATAAATTGCTAATGCTCACAAAGCCCCAGATTCCATGCCAGCACTCCATAACTGGGACAAGGTGGCAGATGCCTGCAATCCTAGCAATTGGGAGGCAGAGGCAGGGGGATTATAAGTTGAAGGTTATGTTCAGCTATACAAGTTTGAAGCTAGCCTGGGATCTTATCTCCAAAAGATTGGGGGAGGAGAGAGGGACAGAAGGAGGAAAGCAAGAAAGTAAAAAGAGAATATGGTGTGTGTGTGAGTGTGTGTGTGTGTGTGTGTGTGTGTGTACATGCTCATTCATTTTAGAAATAATGACTGGCTATGGAAGATGCTAGCATTTAATGTATGGCAAACAGCTAACAGACACACTTATTAGGACGTCAGACATAACCGACTGCATCATTTCTGCTTATTCGTCTTCCATGGCCAGACGTGCAGGCTGTGTCTGGCAGTCTGGGGGCTTGAAAGGAAGCACCTGACCCCATCACACAGTCCATTCAGTACTCTGCTGTGCTGGAACCTCCTGCCTGAGCAGTGAAAGAAGAGGCTTGTCTTTTCCTGTTTTCCTTACCAACTTCGAGCAAATGGAAGAATCTACGCAGGGTTCATTAGGCCCAGACATTGCATAAGAGCAAAAGGGGCCAAGTCTTTGATCGCTGCAGATCCCTTATGTAACGGGAGTTTTCGGGTCACGTATTTATAGACTTGGAGCAGGGGAAGATCCTAGTGATTATTGTAGTCTGACTCTTTCATTTCCCAATAAAATGCATCACAGGAAGAGAAGGCATTTGAAGGGCACACATTTGAAGACAAACTCAGGTTTTCCCCTCTGGCTGATATTGATTTCAGTATCACAACTCCTAGGTAAAAATTATTCTAAGGGAACGCCTTAAACAGAATCTTATATATACACAGATGGGGGAGCGGAGACCCAGCTGTAGGTACTCAGTGATTGGATTGGTTGGAGTTTTGCACCAGAGAATAAAGTAACCTTAATAGCTAAACAATACTGGAACTGACCTCAATTTCACTTCATTTTTTATTGTCTTCCATGATGCAAAGGTAGTCAGAGGTTTTAATCTCCCTCTGCTGTCCCAACAAAAATTATGTGTGGATCTGGGGTTACAACAGCACAATAAACACAAAGCTCATATCTGGCTTGACAGATATCAGCTTTCTGAAGAAGGCGTGCAGAGCTAGAGAAACCTTGGATTGAGCTTTAGGAGGTGGTGTGTGAGAACCCAGGTTACACAGGCCACTCCATGAGTGGGGACATAGTGCAAATACTTCCTAAACTCCTTTCAGACACGTGATCAAGATGGACTCAACATTACCCAGGCCGCTGAGCTGCCACTTAGGACAGTAGCTCCCTATTTGCTTATTGTTTTGTTTGCAACTCTTAATTGGATGGAAATTCTCTCAACGCATTCCATTTTCTTGAAAATGCCATCCCGCTGAGTCCCAGGTGGCGTGTGGAAATCTGGATGCTGCAGTATGTACTTCTGACTCCAAGGAATCATCGCTGTAGTACAAAACACTGCTGGGACCTTCTCTTCAGACCCGCACAGACCAGGATTTACAGTTTTCTGATGTTCCGGTGATACACTAGGAAGAAATGAAAGAGTTCTCATTGCCGTGTCTTTCCTATGGTGTCCCTTCCACTCTGTCCCATACACACCACAACCAACACCACGCCAAGACCAAATCTCCATTTTACAGCCTCAGCTATGGGGGACACTCCCAGCACAGGACCCCGTAAGTTCCTAGTTCTTCCTTTATTTCTAACTGAGCACTTCCCATGTTTCAGCCAGTCTAGTGGTCCGTTTATGCATAGCACTTGAGGTCCTTAAAAGGCACAACTGTCATGTGGAATCAGCTGCCCGCGCAAGCCCACCAATCCCTGGAGTGACATTATAGAGAAAAGTCTTTGGTCTAGGTTGGTGGCATCTAGGTAGGTGCCAGTCTCTTTAAACGATTGAGTTTTGCATCCCACTCTTTGCAAAAAGCTAACTTTGCAACCTGCCCATAGGTACCACTCTTGTTAAAGATACAGGGCTTGGGTAACCATCAGCAGTGGTATCATGATGGGTTCTGGGTCGTAGGAATGAAGTACCACAAGCCATGAGAGCTTGACTGCAAAAGACATGCTCTCCAGTTCTGTCCTCCAAGCGAAAGCTATCAACAGCACAAGAATGGCCTACCTGGGAATCTACCCTTCTCCTTCACACTCAGCATAGATGTCTGGGGGGCAGACTTTTCTTGCCATGAGGACTCTCCTATCCATTCCTCATGCCTGTCATATTAGAGGCAATAAGTACTCACTTCACCTATAAAGCCAAAGGCTAGGAAATGTCGCCAATTCAGAGGTTTTAAGTATAATAAGAGTTTTCTGTGCATAGCTACTGTATCACACAATGTAGGCTAAGCTAGCATTGAGATCCTATGGAGGAAAAAGTGATCCTAGTGTGTTCTCCTTTTCCCTGGCATCATCCACCAAAAGTAAAACAGAGGGACTTCCTAAAGAAATTCTGAGGGCCATAGCATTCCTCTACTACTGCAGTTCTCAACCTATGGGTCATGACCCCTTAGGGAGTGGCATATCAGATATCCTGCATATCAGATATTTACATTAAAATGCATAGCAGTAGCAAAATTACAGTAGCAATGAAAATAATTTTATGGTTGGGGGTCATCACAACTGTATCAAAGGATACAGGTAGGACAATTGAGGACCACCACTCTACTACATGCCCCTACAGGGCGGGAATCAGTCACCACATAATGTGGCCATCTGCTTTCCCAAAAGGCTGCAAAGTCCTTGAGCGTACCTATGTCCCCAGTATCAGGAGGGCAAATGGTAATGTTGAAAGAAACATCATTAATCAATCATGTTATTTCCTTCCCCTTCCCTCCCCACAGCGCCTCACATGGTATTTTAACAGAGGAGTCACCCAGATGATAGTGATTAACAGCAAAGGCTGGGCTGTTCTGCAGATTTAGCCGTTACCTGAAGCCAGCTGGAAATGATGAAATTTCCAGGTAACAAATGGCTGTATGTTCCTCATCCCTCCCACCAAGAAAGAAGCCCATGTGTAAGCGGCAACTTCAAAGGGGGTGTTCATTATTCTCTTGCAAGTTCAGCTAAGTGTCACACATGGCTCAGGGAAGGTAATCCTTGACCCAAGCCTACCCGGGTGAAACAGAGGCTAACATTTCTTTTCCCTGTAGTGCCTTGCCCTCAGTTCTGCCAGTTAGTGCCTGTCTAACCCCGGCGTGGAGTGGGAATTTGTTGAAGTATCCTACCAGGGTGGTGAACTGGTCCACACAAGCATTTCGGATCTTCTCCGGAGTGGCAGGGCTGTCTAGCTGGAAAAGTTGTTTTGCATTATTATCTCGCTGAGCTCGGGCTGCTCGAATGGCATCTTTGATGGCAAAGAAGATAGAAGAAGCCAGGAAAAGAGGTGGCTCCCCAACAGCCTGAATGGAAGGAACATAGAACAGAGAATCAACCAGAGTGGCTCCAGACTACCTCATCACACAGACCCAGGAGGCCAGGCTATGAGCCTTGCACTGAGATAGATGTCAAGTGATACCCGTGAACAACTCCACCCAGTACTGACGGGTCCACAGCAAATGAGCCAAAAAGAGACAGCCAAAACTAATAAAGGCCTGAGAAACTATTTCTTAAATGGCTGATCTTCATAAGATTTTCTTTTAGCTCCTACTATGTAATTTTTTCTGATGATACCATAAAACGCACATTAAATAATTACATGATATATCTTTGAAAGTTATATTAAATAATCATTTTGATTACTGAGACAGGGTTTGACTATGAAGTCCTGCCTGGCCTTGGTACTTCCTATGTAGCCCAGGTTGTCCTTGAACTTTTAGAAATTATCCTATCTCAGCCTCTGAAAGGCCAGGATTACAAATGTGCACCACCAAACCTGGCTACTGTTTTATAGATCAAAAGCTTGGCATGAGTTTTAGGCTCTCCCTCACTTACTGTCCCAGGGGGATAGTCTATCTGCATCCTTGACAGCAATGCTAAATACACGGTGTAATTACATGTACAGATCTGCTAGGATTACATGTACCTCCTAATAGAGGTTGACTCTTTTTCCCCATGAGGCATAGATGGAAAACCACCTGCATCAGAATCACCAAGGATACTTATTAAAATGTATGTTTTGAGGTTCTGCCTCCTTGAACTACAGGATCAAAATTTCTGGATTTGTAATCCCCAGAGATATATTTTTCTCATGAATCTAGTGACCCTAACACATGGTACTTTGTAAGAACCCGTGGCCAAGGTGACAATGTCCCAGACCCTACCCACCCTCAACAGAATAGTGAACCATGACGTGAGAAAATACTTCATCAGCTACAAGTCATGGTTTTCCTTCCTCAGAGACACAGGACTACATTGATAAGCTAGGTTGATTCTCATCCGTGGTCTGTGATTTTTATGGATAGGAATGAAGGAAGCTCTCTGTGCACAGTTCCCCAGCCTCGTTAGTGCTGTTTTAAGGTTGGATCTCAACAACTAGTGGGGATGACAGAATGTGTTGGGAGATGCTCCCCTCCTCTGCAGTGAATTTGTTATATTCTCACAAGAACACGGAGATGCTGTATCTATGAAATCATCCCTGAGGATCAAGGACCAGAATGTATCACAGAGAGCAGCATAGATCAGGCTTTGATCCATAAGATTTGCTAAAGGAGCCAGCTTCAGTCAGCTTGATCAGGACATGTCCTCCTCAGCCCAGTTCCTTCGGTCCTCAGCTCTGCTTCCTTACCAAGGTCAGTGCCAATCCTCTCCCTTCTTTCAGAAGGATCCCTTGCAGACCCACCAGGCGGGTGACTGAAACTCCTTATCCCCCACAGTGGTCTCCCATCCTGGAGGTTAGAAGGCAGCACATAGCCACAGTACCTTGGATGCATAAATGGCCCTTTTGTTGGGGCAGTCCCGGAGCAGGGATACTCTGAATTCAATGGGGATGCTGCCAAATGCAGGGATCTTGTAGGTACTGGGGCCACGAGTATGCAGGCTCCCATCAGGGGAGTAGTGCAGCTCCTCCATAGTGAAGAGACCAAGGCCCTGGACAAATGCCCCTTCCACCTGCAGGACAGAAGGTGACCATGGTTACAACCTCCCTCCGGTCCCAGGACAACAGATACTGATGACTACAATGGATGCAAAACCTGACCTACATAGTTGGGGCCTGGAAGGGAGCTAAAACAGCCTTCAAATTCCTGTCTGGCTCTTACCACAGTACTAAGGTATACCTATTGGCGGGTCACTGAACTTGGTCTCAAGCAGAACATGCCTCTGCTCAGAACATGTTGGCAGAGTGGTAGGTACCATTTCTCTCTAAAACCTGCCACTGTGTGGCTGGAAGTGCTGTCTCCATCTTACACTGGTGAGCCAACACCAGGAAACAAGCTCATTGGAGGGATTTCTGGAGGAGTAAATCCTTTGAAATGTACCTCCGGTCTTGTTGGGCTCTCACCCTTGCCTGTCTTCTGGGAAGAAGTGTCCCCACTAAGGCTTATAGATCTAGGGCATCCTCTACACTATCCTGGTCCCCAACTGCCCTCCCATCCCTAGTCAGAAGAATATGTGGCACTGCCAGACCCACAAACACAAGAGGGCACTGTCGATAATCTTTGTATCCATAGTACTTGATGAACGCCTGCCTACAGAGGGCACTTCCCAAGCAGACCGTGTGTGTGTGTGTGTGTGTGTGTGTGTGTGTGTGTGTGTGTGTGATGACTAAAGAGTAAATTAGCCTTTTATATTTTTTTAGAAATGTACTCATATTTTCTACCAGATGCACCTATCTCAAATTGCGTTCCCTCCCTCTTGTCTTCTCCAGCTTGACCTAGTCTATGAATCCCTTATTTCCCAAAACTGGTTTTCATTTGAGAAATTCTTTTCCTACTCATGGTTGAGCTCATGCCTTTTGGCATCCCTCTACCACCCCAGTCTTAGTACCATTTACTTCCTAGAAAGTAATTTATCTAACGGGCTGGGTCAGTGAGCAGTGCGGAGGCATCCAGTTTTTCTGACCTCAAACTCTACGGCCTAGGAATCAGCACCAGTCTCTACTGCCCTCTCCATGTGCTCCTTCCCAGCTACTCAACCTCTCTATCTACTCCTCCCTCCCTCCCCCCCTCCCCCCCTTCCTTCCTTTCTCCTTCTACCCCTTCTCCCTTGCTCCCTCCTTTTTTGTCTCCTGTGTGTGTATATGTGTGTGTATGTGTGTATCTATGTGTGTAGGAGTGTATGTATGTGTGTATGTGTGTATCTATGTGGGTATAAGTGTGTGTGTGTGTGTGTATGTATGTATGTATGTATGTGTGACATGTGAGGATCTATTGTTTCCTCACGAACCATATTGGTGTCTGGGGTGTGCAGCTTCCCTTTCCAGGTTAATGTATATTTATTTGTTTTCTGCCTTGAGAGTTGGATGAATGATCATCAATCTGACTCTTACTCAGAATGAGGTGCCCAAAGTGCTATTCTCTGCCTCTTAAAAAATGATGCCACGCTGTGTAGCTGCTGACCTTCAGTTAGCAGGGTGGGGTGGGCACTGCTGGCCTATTTACTCTGTTACTACCCTGATCTCCCATAGACCTTACTTGTCCAATATCAATGGCTGGATTCAAGCTGGAACCAACATCCATGATGATATCTGTACGGAGATTCTGTGGATGGAAAAACAGTTTAAGAACAGAATACCTGAAATCCCACTGTGTGTTTTGATAACTCTTAGATTGCAAATCCCAATTCAAATACCACATTCTCAAGCACGAAGCCCTGAGCAGGCTGAAACAGAGCTTCCCACCACACCTGGACTGCCACTATTGAAGCTGACATTTGAGATATCAGCAGCTAAGTAAAAGGTGTGTCAGAGCTGATCTTGCTACACATCCATACATGAGTGGTAAGAGAAAATCTCCAGGGATTGGGGTTTTGAATCCGAGTCTGGGCAAATCTGTGAGAAAGCAGTCAACAAAGTATATTGTGGCTAAATCCAAAGTATGCTGGTTTTAGAGCCTCTAAGGTAATAGCTACATCATTAAATAGCCAAAGGGCTGAGGGCATAATTTAGCGGGTAGATTGCTGGCCTTGTATGCATGGGTCCCTGGGTTTCCTCCCCCAAATAAGAAAAAAACTAAAAATAAATGACTGAAAAATACAGGAAGAAGATATTTGTGCCACAGAAAAATTATCTTCAGTTTAAACTGCAGTGGGCAGAAGTAGTCTTTTCTGGAGCACAGTCCCGCACAGCCCTGCCCAGCCCCGCACAGTCCCTCACAGTCCTACACAGCTCTGCACAGCCCGGCACAGTCCCTCACAGTTCCTCACAGTCCCACACAGTCCCTCACAGTCCCACACAGTCCCACATGGCCAGTTTCACTACAGCAACAGTCAAATGGTGGAGGCAGAAACTACGGGGCTCAAGGTCTACAGTATGTGCTCTCTGGCCTTCATGAAGCAATCCCCTGCCTCTGGTGTAAGCCTTATTTCCTAACCAGAGAGCAGGCCTGGGCCAGCCACTCAGATTGCAATTCTATTGTTTTTCTCCTCTTCTTTCTTAGGCTAACATGTTGCAAATGTCTTACCTTATGATCCCCTGTTAAGCAGTCAATTTCTACTTCAGAGCAAGCCACCCCATAACTGAAATAATGGAAGGGATTCCCAGAGTTTGTCTCAAAGCTGTAGCCAAGGTTGGGTGTCCTGGAAGAGAAAAGAAAAAAGGGTTTATGTGTGTTAGACAAACCCACTCCTTTTCATACACATGTTTTGCCCCATAAATCTGTAAGTCCTAAAGGTCTTGTTTTTCCACTCAGCCATCCTCCTCCAAAGCCTATACATTTCTAATAATCTGAACTTTTCATGAAAATGAGATATTCCAGAGCATTTTGCTTATGTTTCATTTCTCCAAAGCCATGGTATAAGCGTTGTGTACAACCTGGCAGCATTTATCGGAAGCGTGTCGCTTTCTACATGGTAGTGATAACAGAGACAGTTATGCTATGACTCATGGAGAATGTGGAAATCACTCCTTAAAAAGTAAGTGAGTGAGCCAGAATCCAAGGTCTCAGCACTGAGGCTCTGAATGGGACCACACTGGACTTGTTCTCACAAGCTCACCTGCCTGACCAGGTGAAAGGTCACAAGAACAGGGTCTCATACCAACCTGGGTGCATCCCCGAGGTCCTCCCATCTCCTGGCCCCTTTGGAACTTCAACAAGTGATTTGAGCAAAATGTTATTAAGATATACAGATGTTACGTTGTGTGTGCGTTTCCCTTTCTGTGTCTAAGTGCCCTGTACAATTGCCATAATATATGAACCATATAAACGTGTGCTCACACACCCAGAGGTTGAAATACAGCATAACTATGTAATTATATATTGTACATACACTTACTATATAATGTATGTTTATGTGACTATGTGTAATGCATGTATATAATACTTATATACCTATAAACTATGCTGCATAGAAATGATGTGAGGTGATCTGACCAGAGCTCACCCTCTAACCAAACTAACACAGGCTGAGGGCAAGACTCAACCCCGGAGAAACCTCACTGTTTTGACCTCTGACTTCTTCTCGTTTGTCTAGGTGATTGTGGTGGTTTGAATAGGTTTGTCCCCCATAGACTCATGTGCTTGAATGCTCATCTATAGGTAGTGGTACTATTAGGAGGTGTGTCCTTACTGGAGAGTGTGTGTGTGTGTGTGTGTGTGTGTGTGTGTGTGTGTGTGTGTGTGTGTGTGTGATGTAGCTCATGATAATCACATATTCATTCAAGACGTTTTAAATCAAACTTGGAAAGCTTTAAGTTAAATTTCCCAGAAACATGACAATGGCTAATTTTAATTGTCAACTTGATACCATCTGGAATCGTCTGGATAGAGTCTCAGTGAGGGACTGTTTAGATTGGTCTGGACTGTGGACCTATCTATGAGGGCTGTTCCTGGTTTGGTTAATTGGAGTGGAAAGAAACCATCCTGAATGAGCATCATCATGTCATGGGCCGAGCCCTGGACCATATACGAGGGAAGGAGGCAAGCTGAGTATGAGCAAGCACGGATGCTTCTTCTCTGCCCCTGATGGTGGATGTGCTGTGACCCAGTCACACAAGCTCCTGCTACTGCAACAACGGATTGTAACCTAGACTTGTGAGCTAACCCCTTTCTCCCACACATTATTCTTGACAGGGCATTTTACCATAGCAATAGGACAATAGCTATAATCATATCTTTTTATAACTCCAAATCTGAATGGGAGAGGTCTCTAGCTAATCACACGGTGACACAATTTTAAGAGTATCCAATGTATGTGTTCCCTTCCATCCCTCACTGCACTAATAAAGTTCCACCATACTCTGTATGTGGTAAGGAGATCACAGGCTCTAAATCCTCATGTTCTCCTGAGGGAGTCATTTTGAAGAAATCCAGTGTTCTGCACAAGGAAACACACAGGTTGCTCAAACATCTGTCATGGTGCAGCTCAGTGCCATATCCTGTGGAATGCAGGACAGATTCATCCTTCCTCTAGGAAATAGCACACTCAAAGGTCTGGAACTGGAGTCTTCTAATACAGCAGTTCCTGTGTCTGTTCCCTCATACTTGGTAATTGTACATGACGAAGCATCTTTAGACTGAATGAGACCAGCATGAGTCCCACTGACGTGATGAAGATTTTAGGGGTGCTGATTTTGTCTGGCCATGGGCTAACCAGCACTCAGAGTTGTCAGCACTCGGAAGTGGGCAGGACGAAGATCATACTCACTTATAAAATCCAGTAGCAGACAAGCTCACTGCACTAGTGTAGGCATCCATGACCTGAGGAAGACAACGGCCATCAGGAAGGGACAACTGTGGTTTCTAAAGACCCGGCCCACTACTAAGCTATCGTCACTCCCATATTGCAGATGAGAAAACTAAAGGCTGTAAGAAAATGATTTTTGACCTAGCATCTATACTAGGCATGTAATATAATACATACATTGGTGACTGTGGGTTACTTATCTGTGTTATCTGCTCATAATGGACACTGGACTACATCACTGACAGCACAGGACAAAGAGTTTCACTGGTTCAGTGAAAGAAAATAATCATCAAGGCTGTTGTGAAAACTATTCCGATTGCCTGGCAAATCTATACACAAACCACCAGAATTAAATCAGAGTTGAGCAGTCTTCATGTATATGGTATGTAAGGACCGGAGTGTGGAAAGGGAAGTTAAGATCAGTCAGGGCGAGGAAAAGAGTAGATGTGACACGGTAGCTTGTTTTTTCAGAATCTGGTGAGGTGGGTTGTACTACCATTTGCTTCATGAACAGTCCCATTTTGATATCTCCCTCTCCTTGTGTGTGTGCATGTGTGTGTGTATACATGTGATGTGTGCCTGTGTGTGTGCATGTATGTGTGTGCATACATGTGCATGTGTGCCAGTGTGTGTGCATACATATGCATGTGTGCCTGTGTGTGCATGTATGCCTGTATGTGGATGTGTGTGTGTGTGTGTGTGTGTGTGTGTGTCTTTTGCACAGCTAGAAGTTGAACCTAGGACCTTGCATATCTCAGGTAACTGTTCTACATCGAGCTATCTCCCCACCCCTTGACTCCTTGAGATAGTGTCTTTTTACATTGCTCAGGCTGACCTCTAACTCATAATCCCCCTGCCTCTACCTAGGATTACAGGCATGCAATACCTCTGAGAATTCTTTGCATGCCGACATCTAGTGTAGAAAGAATTCAGACAAATAGGCTCATTCTTCTTGGGATTTTCTGTTCTGTCACACCTAGCATCTAATGGGACATCTAGATCTCTCATGGATGACATTTCAGTTGCCCTAGACTCAAAAGTTGAGTGAGAGGAGGGACTGCCAGGGAGGCCCTCAGAGACATGGAGTTTTAAGAAGATGCACCTCATTGGGCCTGTTGACATATGTGTAGATTCATATCTGAGTGAGCCAAGCCATCATATGGAGGTGCTTAAGGCAGACAATCCATCCTTTAAGGCTTAGAGGGGCCAGGGCCCTAATCTCCACAAGCATGAGCCTGTTCCGGCCCTGTGACTCAGACAGAGCTCACCATCTACATGTAAGTGAACTGGTCATCATCTCCTACATGTGTTAAGTAGGGACAGAAGCCCTGCTGTAGCTGATGTACTTCTCCTTTGCAGAAAGCAGCTTGGACCACCTCAGACTTACCCAGTCCTCCCAGGAGCCTTTGGGTTTCTTTTTCTTGAAGGGTTCCAGCCTTTTCAGTATGGTCTGACATGCTTCCTAGAGGAACCCCACCAGACACCAGACACATCAGTGCTCGACCCTCTGTACCACGTGACACCTAAGCCACCTGCACAGCTCAATGGCCTGCATAGTAAGCCACCATTGGCCCTTGTCTAGAGATCCCTCCTGACACCATGCCTAGGCTGACAGAGAGAGAACTCCTGATGGAGCCCCAGGGAGGTAGCTTCCCCTAGCATGCTTCTTGTTTGAGGATATCTCTCATGTGAGAAAGAAGTAAGTATCTGGAATCCAGCCAACCCAATAGGCAAATATCAATTTTAACAGACTATCTTGTGACTAGTATTCCTTCCCAGAAGCCACTGTTTTCATTCCAATCCCCTTCCTACTCTGGACCCAACTCTCCTGGCTTTGATAGACATGATTAGGCTGGAGTTTCCCTACTAGCTGGGCATATGGAGGAAGAGCATCCTCCTCTTAGCAGAATGAAGTCATGACCATAGCCAAAGATCCTATTACAGACCATCAAGGGAACCTCTTGAGACCCCAACCCAGAGCGCATCCCCAGCTGCTCCCTTAGGCTCCTCACGTACATAAATGGCCTGGCCATTGATGTCAGCACTGGCAGAGGCAGCTGTGGGAGAGGTGTTGGGGACAGTGTTAGTGCTTGTCTCCGTTATATGGATCTTGGAGGTGGGGATCTTCAGAGCTCGGCTGGCAACCTGCAACAAAGGAGACATCAATCTCTAGAAAAGAGGTTATCATGGAACTAGACTGCCCTCTTCCCAATCTTGTAAGCTCTATCCTGTTGATTCTGGAAGGTTGTCACACCTGGCTGGGTTTGAAGGAACACTTTTTGTAGGATCTGGTTGGCTAAGACATCTATAAGCCTATTTTAAGCAAATTCTAGAATTTCTTTTTAAGTCTGGATAGACCTCAAGAACCAAGCAGATGTTCCAACTGTGATCCAGCACCATTAGCCCAACTCCCCTGTGAGGTCTCACCAAGTTGAAAAAATTAGCTGTTTTCGTACATTCAAGGAGCTCTTGGTAATAGACATATCCTGGGGGATTGTCTAGTCAAGCCTTTAGCACAGATAAGAGGGGAGAAGCCTGGTCCACGGCCATTTGTAAATGTGCTCTCAGGCTTGCTGCTTCTACTGGCACATCACACTGCTCAGCTTCACCCAGCATCTTTCTGGACACCAGATATCCCAGACGTGGTCCCCAGGCTTCTCACCTGAACCATCTTGGTGTGAAGGCCTTGACCCATCTCAGTTCCTCCATGTGTCAACAGCACTGACCCATCAGTGTACACGTGGACCAGAGCACCTCCCTAAGGAAGAAGAAGGCCAGCCACAACATTTGGTAAATCCTGACTCAGCTCAAGCTTTGAAACTTAAGATATGAAGCCCAGGAAGAAAACCATCACCCACGGTTAGTTTTTTTTTTTTTAAAGACCCAGGCAAAAATTATGCAGTATAAACCTCATTATTTAATTAAGTAACCCTTCAGGAGTCATAGGAAATAGGTCACTTCTCTCTGTCCCTATGCTATGCCTGAAGAAAGAGAATATGGGAGCTGAGTGTCTGTGCATAGTCTTGTAACCATGGAGGGCAAAAACTAGAAGATCCCAGATCCCCGTCTCACCCCTCCTCCACACACTACTCTAGTAGGAATATACAGATTTCATTTTATTTCAGCAGAAGAGAGAGCCTCCTAGTTAGGCCAATGATGAGAGATTTCTTTTATCCAACCCCTCCCCCCAAAATCAGTAATGGAATGGTATCCCAATCCAGCATGGGCCAAGTTACCTAAAGCAATTACCTGGTTCAGAAAAGGAAGTGTGAAGCTTATTCCAAACTTAGTCGGGATTATACACAGCCCTCTCTTTTTCCAACAATTCTCCCTGGAAAGAAAAAAAAAATTCAAAGTCTCACTCTGTAGAACTTTCAGGCCTAGAACTCACAGATATCTGCCTGCCTGGACCTCCCAAGTGTTGGCATTGAAAGTGTGTGCTACCCAGCCTGGTCTGAAAAGAGCCTTCTTGTAGAATATATATTTATGTCTAGTTGAGTATATTTCCATTATCACCCTCGTATTAAGTCAGAACAGGACATCCTTGAAGCCACCTATACAGTCACTGTCATAGAGTAGACAAAAATGAAACTGGTGTAAATCTAGGTCTCTGGTCTTCCATTGCAGGTGACACAGACACCAAAGGACTGTCAAATTTCCTCCCTAAGTAAAATTCACATTTAGACAGTATGTCCTTATGACCTTCGACTGCCCTTGTCCTGAGGGAAAGATAACAATGTTTTCTCTATATTTTTGTTCAAATAAATAACTGTGAAGAAGACAGAGCCAATATAGTAATTCCCACTTTACAGATGAGCAAACTGAGGCCCACTTCAAAGAAACTGAATGACTGCCAAAGTCAAATGCATTTGTCAGTTTCAAAGGTAGACACATAACTGTGGTGTTCTTGGCCCCCAGCCAATGCTCTCAATAATGTGATACTCTCAGGAGGCACACAAATGGATACAGATGAACCTCAATGGATGTCTCTGATGCTGAGTGAAGACAGGAGGTTCCTTGTTCCTGGCCTAAAGATCATCCACAGATTTTAAAGAGAAAACTGTCAATGAGCCAGCAGGTTCAGCAGTCTCAGAAGTTGTCCACTGAACCATCAGCATGTTATTTGGGAACAGAAGAAAGGCTGGACCACAGCAAAACAACAGAGCATCAGAACAGCACACTCCCCACGCTAGGCTTACCTGTTGAATTTCTCCACTTCCATCTTTCGAGCATGATACTGGGAGCTTGCTATGCATTCGTCCCAGCACCTGGGCAGGGTGAACCCCTCCAGCTTCTGGTTGAAGTGAGTCAGGTCCCCTTCTTTGTACATGTTCTTCCTTCGTACCTGTACAAGAGAGAGAGATTAGGTCTTGTCAGCTTCTGATCCCTCTGCAGTGCCTGTTTACATGCCCTGCCCCAGGGAATGCCCCATGTAAGAGTCACTCTTTCCCCAAAAAGGGCTTACCACCGTTAGTGAGAGCAGCTCACCTCCTCTGCAGGTAGCCCACAGGTTACAGCGACCTCACTCATCCAGTGTTCTGCGATTAGCATCCCCTGAGGACCCCCAAAGCCTCGGAAGGCTGTGTTGGAGGGCAGATTAGTCTTACAAATCCTCCCAGTACCACGAATGTTGGGGATCTTGTAGGTGTTGTCCATGTGGAACAGAGCTCGTTCCATTATCTAAGGCAGAAGAAACCAAAAAGTATAGCACAGGCAAATCCATTGATTCAAATATCAGCTAAGGAACTACACACAAGCCTGACTTCCCTAGGCTAGCCGTCAACAGCCCTACATCAGGCCAGTGCTGTTTCTTTCCTAGAACAGCTTACCCTCCTATGTAGGTCCCCAAACCAGCTTCTCACCTGGGAATCCTTCCCAGGACCTCCAGTTGGAACTGACTGATGGCCTCTTTCAAAAACAAATTGATTTTGTTTGACCCACTGTAAATTTGCCTTCCTTTAAAACAATTTGTGTGTGTGTGTGTGTAAATCAACATTTTTATAAATGGCCATGAATTTGAGAGAGTGCAAGGGGTTTAAATGGGGGGACGGGGTGGATGGAAGGAAAGGAAATGATTTAACTATATTTTAATTATTTTAAAAAAGTGGTTATATTTACTGTGTTCTCCCCCTAAACTGACTCTGAATAAAATTCTGCATTGGAAATTTACTAATTTCCTGCTGTATTTTGAAAGCAATTTACTGATATGTTCTAGTTCCCCAACACTGAAGGACAGGCAATAGACAGCTTTTCAGGTCTGCAAAGAACTGTGTTTTCACCTTCTAAAAGTCAGTCTCCAGCTTTCTAAATTTCACAGTTAGTCCACTTTCCTGTATTTGTGCTTATTGTAAATTGCTTTTTTTTAATCTTAAAATTGATGTCAACTAGATGGTGTATATATGTGTATGAAGTTTATTTTGTTTCTTGATAGCCTCTGCCACTGTTTCTATTTTTTTTTTCCTGAGATGTCAATTATTTGGACCTCCTGGGCTGGTTCTCAATTTTTTTTTATTTTGTTTTCTGCCTGCACAGTATTTTTTCTCTCGGGGGGGGGGGGGAGCCATTGAGTTCCTTTCAGTCTCTCTTGTAGTTTGAATTCACAAGAGCTCATTACAGGACTAGTCTAGTGGTACAGCATCTCTCTCTCTCTCTCTCTCTCTCTCTCTCTCTCTCTCTCTCTCTCT